TATATATATATATATATGGCACATAACAACAACATATATACACACACATATACATATATATATACACTTGTGTTTGTGTGTACATATACACATATTTATACAGAAATATCTATGTAGTCATTTGTGTATAATTATATATATGGTGATGGTGGTTATGTGCCATGGAGTCGGTTCCAACTCATAGCAACCATGTACAGGGTTTCCGAGGCTGTAAATCTTTACGGGAGCAGAAAGTCTCATCTTTCTCCCATGTAACAGCTGGTAGTTTTGAACTGCTGACCTTGCAGTTTGCAGTCTGATTGGTAACCACTCCATTACAAGAGCTCCTTATACACATATATAACTACACAATTAAATTTATGTGTGCATGCAGACACATACATAATTACACACAAGCATAGAGACATGAGAATGTATTAGTTCTGTCTTTTATATCAGAGATATAGTTCTGAAATTATTTAATATAGCTAATATTACGAAAGCTTGAATGTTTAGTTTTAGGACTTTCCCTTTGTGTAAGAAGACTTTAGAATGTAAATTTGTTGGATATCAAATATTTTTCACTTGTGTAATTTTTTAAATTGTTAATATAAAGCATTATTAAAAAGTGAATTTAAGAAGAAATTAAGTTTTTATTTCTGAGAACAATGCTTATAACATGCTATGGTAGCAGACATGGAGAGAATAACACTCATTTTATAGTTTATTTTTCAAATATAGACATATTTCCAGGTTCTAGAAAACTAGTAACTCGGGATGTAAAATGAAAAAATTAATACTATAAGATTTTCAAAATATTGATGAATTTTTTAAATGTATGGACATTCTGGACTCCTGGTTTGGTGCTGTAGGATAAGCACTGGACTGTGAATCAAAAGATAAGCAGTTCAAACCCACCAACCACTCCTTGGAAATGCTATACAGGGTCGCCATGAGTCAGAATCAACTTGACGGTACGGAACAGCAAAGGAGTCCTGGTGTGGTGCTGTGGGTTAATGCGCTGGACTGCAAAGTCAGCAGTTCAAACTCACCAGCCACTCCTTGGAAACCCTATACAGGGTCGCTATGGGTCGGAACCGACTCGATGGTACTTAACAACAACAGCAATGAGCATGTTAGCGAAATTCAGGCCTCTTGGTATGGCACTGTAGGATAAGAACAAAACCAAGTTTCTGCTTTCCCTTGTTCAGTCTAGTATTGTTAGGTGCCATCAAGTCAGTACTGACCCCTAGCGACCTTATGCACAGCAGAATGAAACACTGCCCGATCCTGAGCCAACCTCATTATTGTTGCCACACTTGAGTCCATCGATGCTGTCACTTGGCCAGTCTATCTCAGTGGGGGTCTTCTTCTTTTTCTCTGACCCTCCACCTTATCAAACATGATATCCTTCTCTAGCGACTGCTCCCTCCTGACAGTATGTCCAAAGTATGAGAGACGAAGTTTAGCCATCTTGGCCTCTAAGGAGCACTCTGGCTGCACTTCTTCCAAAACAGATCTATTGGTTCTTTTGGCAGCCCAGGGCATTTTCAATATTCTCCTCCAACACCATAATTCAAAGGCATCAATTCTTCTATGGTCTTCCTTATTCACTGTCCAGCTTTCTCATGTATATGAGGTTATTGAAAATACCATGGCTTGGGTCAGGCGCACCTTAGTTCTCAAGCTTACAGTTTTGCTCTTCAACACTGTAAAAAGGTCTTGTGCAGCAGATTTGCCTAATGCAATACGTCATTTGATCTCTTGACTGCTGCTTCTGTGAGTTTTGATAGTTGATCCAAGAAGAATGAAGTCCTTGACAACTTCAGTCTTTTCTCCATTGATAAGAACATTTTTCATTGGTCCAGTGGTGAGGATTTTTGTGTGGGTCTAGTATTGTTGTTGTTGTGAAGTGCCATCGAGTCGGTCCTGACACATAGTGACCCTGTATAGGTTTTCCAAGGAGCAGCTGGTGAGCTTGAACCACCAACCTTGCAGTTCAAATGGTTTTTCAATCTGGCGCGTTAACCCACAGAGCCCCACCAGGACTCCAGGTCTAGTATTACTCCTTATTTATTTGCTGGTAAAAGAAAATTAATCACTTTCTAGGTTTGTACTACAGAAAGTGTCAGTTAATTTCCAAGGAAGATGTTACTCATGATACGAAGCTTTTCTGCCTGAAGCTGCCACCAAGCACTCATCTTCAGGTGCCAATTGGGCAACATGTTTACCTCAAACTAACTATTACAGGTAAGGAAAATGGAGGCTATAGGGGAGGATTTGGGAATGTCTACTCCGTGGGCCACATAAAGCCCTTGAAATCATTTGGTCTGGCCCTGCCAAGGCAATCGCGGTTCCAGCCATCACATTAAGAGTGAGTTAATTAAATGTTTGACCAAATATAGCAGGCTAATGTTTAAGTTGATAATTATGTATGACCTGTGACCGATGTTATAAATTTTGGTAGAAAAAAGGTTCCCCATCTAGGGAACATTTTCTTCTTTTACTCTCAGTTCAAAATCAGTACTTCACTCTCTAGGCATCTGCCATTTAAGTTATTCATAAATGTTTCTGGACAGCTTGATTTAATGATGGCCAGACTCTAGCTTTGTAGATGTTGTACACCTGTATGCTAGAACTCTTTCCATGCCACTAGATTGTATGAAACAAAGAAATTGCCACTGATGAGAGAAATGACTCCAGGAGCATTGTAGTTTATTAACAACAAATCCCGAAAGGAAAGAGGCAAAGAAGGACCAAAATGTTCTCTCTGAAGACAGTGACTAGGAACACATACTAGCAGCTTAGTAGCCCCATGGTCTACCAAAATTAAAAGCTCTCTAAATATATTCCTGAAAATTCTTATTCCCTTGTTTTCATTCTAAAATTGCCTTATGTGTTTTAAATACCCTTCTTAATAATAGACTTTCAAGCTCACCAGCTGCTCCTTGGAAACCCTATACAGGGTCAGTATGGGTTGGAATCAACTCGACGGCATTTAACAACAATGATAGACTGTTTGAATTATAAATAAAGTATTTATTTGTTAAAATTATTTCAGCACATATAGGCTTGAAGTATGTATGTATTAGAGAGAGAGAGATAGACACCTGGCGTGGCACTGTGGGATCAGCACTGGCCTGCAAACCACAGGTTCAAATGTACTAGCTGCTCCTTGGAAACCCTATACAAGGTAGCTGTGAGTTGGAACCATCTCAGTAGTACTTAACAACAGCATATAGATATAGATATATGTGTATGTAGAGAATATAAAGTTATAATCATTTGTAAATATTTATATGCCCAGTGTGTAAATAATACTGTGATAGCATCATAAAATTCATGTGATTTATCTTCACTAAGATTTTTATAACTTTATTTGTTGAATTTTTCAGGTACAGAAATAGTGAAGCCATATACACCTGTATCTGATTCCTTACTCTCAGAGTTCCAGGAGCCAGTTCTTTGCAACAATAAATGCATCTACTTCTTGATCAAAATCTATCCTACTGGACTCTTCACACCAGAGCTTAATCATCTTCAGATTGGTAATGAATTTGTTTGATTTTTTTCCATTCTAGATGTTTGTGTGTGTGCTCTAGATTGGATCCATGTAGATACCTTTAAAATATCTTAAAGTCAACATGTCCACAACCAGAAACATCCTCTCTTTGTCCCTTGTAACCTATCCTCACCCCTGTATTCACCATCTTTATTATTTACAGCATGACTGTTCATTTTTGGCCCAGTCTGAAAACTTAAGTCATTTCAGTCTCCCCACTTTCTCCTTCCCAACTCAGTCAGCCACTAACTCTGTCTAGTCCACCTCCCAGTGATTTACTATTCTCTCCTCCTTATTTCTTTTTCTACTCCCTGAGATTAAGTATTCATCTTTCTGGATTTTTAAATAGTCTTCCAATTGCCTTTCTTTCTTTCAAGCTTCAGATACTAGTTTCTTCTCTAAACTTCTTTAAGAAGAGATTTAATTGTATTGCCCTGAAACTTTGTATCCTTTAATGCTTTAAAGTTTTGGCATGGTCTAAACTCGTCAGTCAGTTTGTCATACTGTGGTGGATTGCTTGTTGCTGTGATTCTGCAAGATATGTCACCAGTATTATAAATACCAGCAGGGTCACCACTGATGAACAAGTTTCAGATAAGCTTCCAGGCTAAGATAGACTAGAAAGAAGGAGAAGTAGACTGCTTCTGAATGATTAGCCACTGAAAGCCTTGTGAATAGCAGGGGAACAATCAAATAGCATCAGAATGTTGAATATTGAAACATCAGGAAGAGCACCAGAATATTTTCAGATATGTTGTTGTTGTTGTTGTTGTTGTTGTTAGGTGCCATCAAGTCAGTACCAACTCATAGAGACCTTATGCACAACAGAACGAAACACTGCCCAATCCTGGGCCAACTTCACTGCTGTTGTCATGCTTGAGTCCATCGATGCTGCCACTTGGCCAATCCATGTCATTGGGGGGGGTTGCCTCTTTTTCTGTGACCCTCCACTTTACCAAACATGATGTCCTTCTCCAGCGAATTGTCAGATATAATGATGGAAAATGAGCCCTCAGGTTGGAAGTCACTCAGAATACAACTGGGGAAAAGCTGCCACCTCAAAGTAGAGTTGACTGTGATGATGCGAATGGAGTAAAGCTTTCAGGACCTTCTTTTGCTGATGGGAGAAACAGCTGTAAACATCCATTAATAATTGGAACATGTAATGTACAAAGTATGAATCTAGGAAATTTGAAGTTGTCAAAAGTTAAATGGAATGTATAAACCTAAATATCCCAGGCATTAGTGAGCTGAAATGGTTTGGTGTTGGTCATTTTCAATCTGACAATTGCATGAATTGCTATGCCGGGAATGGAATGACAAATTGAAGGGGAAAGACATCACAGTAACCATCAAAATGAACACTGCTGTTAAAGTTTTCAGTGGCTTAACATTCAGAAATAGTCTGCCTCTCCTTCTTTCTAGTCTGTTTTAGTGTGTAAACTCAATTAAAACCTATCCACCATGGGTGACCCTACTAATATTTAAAATACTGATGGCGAAGCTTCCAGCTTCACAGCAATATGTAAATCAGCATGGTATGACAAACTGACAGATGAGTGATGGCAAAATGTGTAAATGAACAAAGTATTATTTGACATTAGGAAATTTCTATTAATTTTCTTCAATGTTATGGTAATATGAGGGAGAGAGAGGGAAATACCATTGTTTTTAGATGTATAGTGAAGCATTTAGGGGTGAAATGTCTTGAGTTTTGCCACCTATTTGTAAATGGTTCAATATGGCAAAAAGTACCAAGATAATTATATACATAGATAAATAATAAATCAAGGTATATATCCACTCTTAGAAAAAAATATGAATTGGTAAGTCAAAATGATCATTTTATGATATTAATCTAGTCTGTATTTTTGGAAAGTTTCATAATAAAATATGCAAATTATAATTAAAAAAAAAAGAACATCTCAAAATTTGTCTTGAAGTACAACACTGTCTGTGACAAGATAATATCCATACATCTACAAGGAGGGCCAGTTGAAATAATTACTTCATATCCTTGCCAGCACTTGTTGTCCTCTACTTTTTTTTTTTATCTTTGCTGTTATTGCTGGTGTGAAATGATATCTCATTGTTGTTTTGATTTGCATCTCTCTAATGGCTAGTGTTTCTCTGCTATTTATAAGGTTTTCAGTGACTAACAATTCGGAAGTAGTCACCCTTTTTTCCTAGTCTATCTTTGTCTGGAAGCTCATCTGAAACCAGTCCACCCTGGGTGACCCTGCTGGTTATTTAAAATACCGGTGGCATAGCCCTCAGAATCACAGCAGCTCAAGCACCACAGCACAACAGACAGATGAGTGGTGGGCGTTTGGTTTTATGTTGAAACTGTCACTTTAAATTTCGACATCAGTCCTGATACAATCAAGATGTTCTCTCCCAAGATGGTGGCTCTGGGAATAGCTGAGCATCTTGAATTAGAAAACAATGGATTTCTTGATTCTCCTAAAAATTCCCCTAGCTATAAGCCCTCCAATCCTCCAAATATTCCTTTATATCCCACCTGAATTTAGAGATCATCTGAAGAACAAATTTGATACATTTAACACTAAAGACCGAAGACCAGAAGAGTTGTGGGATGACATCAAGAACATCATATGTGAAGCGAGTAAAAAGTCATTAAGAAGACAAGAAAGATGGAAAAGGTCAAAATGGATGTCAAAAGAGACACTGAAACGTGCTCTCCAGCATAGAGATCCTAAAGCAAATGGAAGAAATGAGGAGGTCCCAAAGCTGAACAGAAAATTTCAAAGATCAACTCAAGAAGACAAAGCCAAATATTATAATATAATGTGCAAATATTTGGAGTCAGAAAACCAAAAAGTAAGAACATACTCAGCATTTCTCAAGCTGGTGCAACTGAAGAAAAAAATTCAAGCCTCGACTTTCATTATTGAAAGATTCTCTGGGCAACTTATTGAATGATGCAGAATGCATCAAGAGAAGGTGGAAGAAATACACAGAGTAATTGTGTTTCCAAAAGGAAATGGTTAATGTTCAACCATTTAAAGAGGTACCATATGAACAAGAGCCAGTGATACTCAAGGAGGAAGTCCAAAGTGCATTGAAGGAATTGACAAAGAACAAGGCACCAGGAATTGATGGAATAAAAATTGAAATCTTTCAAGAAAGTGAGGTGGCACAGGAG